ACCGATGGTAAATGTTTTTAAAATATATATACACATATATAAATTATAGGTTTGACTGGCTTTGTTGTTCCCAGGTATTGATGGAATATGCGGTCCGAATCTTCTGTGGCTATGGCCTTGACCAACAAAGGTCATGGTTTTGAGTTCTGATATAATTATTTCTACAGTAAAAGTCGCGCACGAGAAGCAGAGTTTTCATGAATTTCTGCATTATATAACTCTCAATCAAAAGTGAACACCGCAGGGAAGATCATCCTGGGGTATGATTTACATATACTATATATTTTACATGTATGAGCGATAAATAATTAGAATTCATTAAAAAAGGGAAAATTTAGCTGTAGTGACGGTGATTGGTTTATTACCTGCACGCTCGAAGAGCACATATACGTGGAGAGATATTTAAATTAAACTATGAGCGGGTCTCCCTCGCCACAGAAGTTGTTAAATATTTTCAGATGAAGTAAAAAGAGACGAGGATGAAACGAAACCGGTAACATGAGCCTGAGCATGAGCACAACGGGAAGGTGATCTTTAATTAAGTGGCAAGCCACACACAATCTGGCAAGCGAGATCATAAAAATAAGAGCAGTTAAGGGCGAACTATAAAGACGAGAGAAGCGCGCATGAGGCTGGCCAGTGATGGTTCCCAAGGTGGCAAAACTAAGAGGATAATGCAATAAGACAAAGCAGAAAACTGAAACTCAGGGAGATATTGTGCGAGGGGCGAGGCTTAAAATAATAGTATAATATAAACGATCCAGAATAAACCAATGGGGTGGCACACACACGCACTCGGAGCTGCAGATAACTGCCAAGAGTCAACCCGCCCCACCAGCGCCCAAGAGTCAATCTGCAAGAATGTGGCAGCGAAGCCTCAACGTCGTTGCGAGCACCGTTTAAGACTTGTTCGATCGATTGATTGATTGATTGCTAGCGATTCCGCTGATCCATGCTTAGCTTGTCTAATGATGGTCGGTTGTGACGGTACGTCGCAGCAGCAGCGTTATAACAGCCCATTTTAAGCTGGGGTTAGTGGAAAGGCGAATTTGACTGATCGCTCGGTTCCATTCCATCGCCCTGAGTTCTGCTGCTGCCCGAGCTGGAGTTGTCCTGCAGGTCTAAAGATCACGTGTGATTACTCTCGCTCGCACCTCGGTTGGGCTGGGCTGGGCTGGGCTGGGCTAAGCAGGCCATGCCGGGTGTGTGATAATCACACGGCAGGAGGATGAGCCTTTCATCTCTTGCTGCTGCTGCTGCTGCTGCTGCAGAAGATGGAAGAGGATGGTGCTGTCAATCGAGTGATGGGGGAGGGGAAGGGAGGGGATGTAATGGAGCCGAGGAAATGGCCCGTGCTGGCAAGGTCTTCAAATGTGTAAATATCTGGATTAGCGATATAGCATGACCACAACTTGGTGACAGCTGAAGAGTCCATTCCTGACAGAGGGAACACTAGGCCGCCTGACAGGCAGCGCTAAATTTCTGCCTTTCTTTCGGTTGGGGAGTCAATGGGGACGCTTCTAGTCACCAAAGATGGACTGAACTCCAAGGGCCGCAAGCTTGAGCGAGCGAACAGGGCCGAGGGCCTAATAATACTGATTTGTCGCACGCGAGTAAAGAACTGATGGGCAGCATGAGGTCAGCATGGGGCTGCTGCAATGCTGCATTCACCCAACATTGAGGGCATTAATGTAAGGCTGCTGAGTCCATTGTTTCCTTCTCGCTCGCTCTGAAAAGGTACTGGCCAAACAGTTCCTGAATCCGTTCATTCGCTCGCCTGCGCTCTCTTCAGCGACGACGAGCCTTCTTCGCCTGGGGGCTGCAATTAATGGCCCTCTCTGTTGAGCAGGTCAAAAGGACAGGACGGTGAAGGTACCGGGGGGATGCATATGGTTCATAAGGTGGACGCCATTGGTGAGGTCGTGAGCCGAAGTGGAGCCCGACTCCGTCCCAGCGCCGCGCCGGGCCGGGCCCCGAGGATAGATAGATAGATAGATAGATAGATTTGCAGAGCTTGGAACGGGGCGTTATGAATTGGTGTTTATAATGTCAAGCAGATCGGCCTCTGAAGGCCTTTTTCTGGCCTAAAGACATGATTTCGATGTGTAGCCCCCCTCCGCCCTTGGATTCTTTTGTTCGTCATGGAAGATAGTGGACTTTATTCGGACGAGTTTCGGTGGGTCCGCTGCTGCAGCCCAAGCCAAGCCAAGCCAAGCCATCAGCAGCGGTTGCTTCTGTATGTATGCCTTCTTCCTGCTGCTGCTGGCCCTCCTCCTCGGCCATAACCATCAGTGTCAGCTTCGTGTGCCCATTTCGTTGGGCACCCAGATCCCATGCCCTCTTCTTCTCCTCTCCCATCACAGTCTCAGACTCGGTTTGTCACATTCTCCTGAAAGATGGGCCTGGTAGAATACAGTACGGGCCCCCTCCCTCTCCGTCGTATGACTGGCGACCATCCCATCACAGGACCGATGGCGTATCCATAATGATTCGTCTTCGTAAGTCTGTCTGCATCTTACTGTTGGAACATAATCGGATCATGCACTGTAATGAGTGGGTCAATGCGACTACTGCCTTCCGAGCGGAATTGAATAATTATGATGGGGGCCTTCCCTTGCCTTCCCTTGCCTTCCCTTCCTTCCATCCCATCGGTGCCAAATAGCTCCTGCTCCTGCTCCTCCTCCTCCTCCTCCCTTTGAATGGAAGGAACGCAGGGGTCCACATCCGAGCCCTCCTCCACTGAATCACGATGGCCGTGCCATGCTCGCTCGGATTTCCAAGTCAGGCTCTGCCGTGAAGATACTATTCCAGCTTCGACAGGGCGGGCCGTCAAGTCAAGTACACCAGTCCCAGTGATCTAGCAGCCAAGAGCCTGGGGCCTCCTCCTCCTCCTCCTCCTCGTCGTCGCCATGCGCATGAATCCAGAGCGGCTGGCTAAGTCTAAGATCGGCCCCTCCATAGCCCCGATCCTTAGATTCTCAACGGGAAATTTGTCCTTGTTTCGTTTTACTCGTCGCCCCTGCCTCCCCTAGTGCACCTAAGCCTCTTTCCTAAGCCTCCATCTTTTACTCCCAGCGTGCACTAATTCTTCCCTTCATGCTTTCGCCTCCTTTGATTCGGTCCATTTCCGAGTTTTGTCAATCATGCGTGTAAGAGATCTGACCTTCCCTTGCTCGCCCTCTGTGACAGACTGTCTGTCGCTCGTGCTTTTCCAACTTCATTCCATCATTCGAACAGACGTCGTTTTTTCTCTTTGTTCGACCTTCACACACAAGCTCCCCACAAATATTCACGTCAACTCCTCAACCTTATGTGAATGGTCCCCTGCATCATACTTCATTCAGGGCAGATTAATTTTGTGGAGAACCATTTGGTTCTTGCTTACAGCGACCGACAGGCGATATCCAGCTTGTAGTCATTTTGCCAAACATATCTGAAAGTATAAAAACAAATAAAATTATTCTACATATAAATAACAATGAGTTCGATTCATCCAAGGAAAGAATACTGGATTAACAGGTGAGAGTAGAGAATTCAGAAATAAATATGTTGGACTCATTAAACAAAGTCTCAAACTTGGAATAAGTTCCTCAAAAGCTATGCGAGATGAATCACTTCAATACAGTGCAAAAAATTGAAATTTTGGTATACGCAATCTAGCATGTATAAATGTAAAATTGAGGATAGATTATGAAAGAAGGTAATTGAATATGAATTGAATATAATATTATCGATTTAAAAATATCCAAAAATAGTAAATTATATTAATCCAGTTTTTTTATATTTCTTACATAGTCTAGCTGAAATTAGTTCAGATATTATATGCCCACATCACAAATCTTAGAATTACGGGAACATATTATTGAAACATGTAGATCCAATCAGTACAAAAAAATTCCTTTGTAATTTAAGAGATTTTCTAATTAAATGTGAAAAATTCTGATCTTAGTTTTGAACAAACTACTTTAAATAGCCAAAAGAATGTATTAGAAGCCAAGATATGGCATCATGTTCATATTTTAGAATTTGTGAGAATTTCAGAATTTGATATTTTACAACCTAAATTTGTGTACAAGTATAACAAGGAATGCTCGCAAAGTCTTGATAAGTTCTTATCAAATGAAAGAAATTAAGTTCTCAATTAAATAATTATAAGTTTTTCGTAAATTTTGTATCTTTCTAGTTATAGATTTAACATTGATCGAAAGATATGGATGAAATTTTTGAGTTTATTAAATAATCGTATTTCATTAAGATTAAATTAATAAATAATACAATTTAAAAAGAAACCAAATTATATAAAAAGTAATTTCAAGAAACATGCAATGTAAATTCTTGACTGAAGTTTGATAATTTGACTAATTTATTTCTTTTGGGAACATTTTTTAGCACAACTGATAATAATAGCGAATTATAATATTTCAAGTTAAATGAAAATTCATAGGACTACCCTGAGGATTATATGAACCAAAAGAAACCAAGTTTCATTCAACTATTGTTACAATTTTAAAAAAAATACAACATGCAATATAGTCCAAAAAACTGAAAATGCACCCACGTGCGAAACAAGTATTGTTTCCAAGTCAATAAGCGATTGTATCCTCGTTTCACTTTCCCAATCAGATCTCGGATAGTAGATTTAATTTTATAGCGTAAAAGGGAACATCGATATTGCATGTTTAGATTAAGATTACTGAGAATCAGGTTAGTTTGAATGAATCCAAGCTAGAGTAGCAAAGATATCATTGACTTCTATAATTGGTGTGAGTAGATGGTACTTTTGATAAGTAGAGGTACTTTTGGGAGTAATGCTCTGCAAATAGTTAGTTACGACGTTCATTAATCGAGAGAGAGAGAGAGAGAGGAGATTACAAGGCATGGCAACGGAAAGGAAAGGCAAGGAAAAAGGCACAAAACGGAAAGGACAGTTGGGCTTTTGGAGCAAATGGTCGACTCACTGATTTCTCTGCGCCGACTTCCGAAGTATTTTCGGAAATTCCTGACACTCTGCGGCTGACCACGGAAGCGAGGGGGGGCCTATAAAAAGTAAGTCGGTCGAGCATTTATTGACTGCTGTGTCCGGAGGCCTAGCCATTTTCGGTAGCTCATACAGTCGCAGGACGCCTCTATGGTCCATCACGTCGACGCGGTTTCTACTGCGGCCTCAGTTTCACCCCATATCTCGCCTGCTGCTGCACTGCTTCCTCGTGGTTTTGTACAGGCGAAACTATCAAATCTCCATCGCGCGGGTTGTTCGATTTCGTCTCCAGACTACCGGTAGGATTCTACTCTATCTATCCATCCATCCATCCATCTATCCATCTATCTATCCCTCTCTCTCTCTCTCTAGTAGATATTCTCAACGACCACAGATCGATCGCTTATGCTCTCTACCTGTTCCCGCGTCGAATAGTGGCACTTGCGACTCCGTCCCGCACACTTGACGGATTTGAGTAGAAAACGAATAAGTGAACGAGGATCAGCGCTCGAGCTGTACATCGTTATTAATAACCGCGATGGCTATCTGACCTTTAATAACCGCACTGCTCTGTTTACCCGAAATACTGACCCCAGGCAGGCCCACGCTCTTTATTCCCCACATCGCTACTAATCTTTTCTAATCGCTCCACAGATCGAGTTCACCATCTCTAACAAGAAACGAGCAAGGGCCGTGCCCACACCATTCTGCTCTGCTTTGTCATGGCGCTCCAGGTCGTTGCTCGACCTCACTCCCTCGATGTACCTACCACTTCAGGTGTGTTTGTTGATTTTTGTTCAATTTCGATTTCCTCCTCTACAAATCTAATGTTTGTCAAAATTCTTGGCGATGAGATTTATTGCAAATTATTGATTACGATTCATGCTCCTTTGTCATGTTTTGCTACAAGAACATCTCAAACTGATCTCTCGTTGAATATGGAGATGTAGTTTTTATGCAGTTTTCCTGTCCTACCGCGGCTTGTAATATATCAAAAAATCTACTATCGACATAACTGTATTACTAGAAGATATACATCATCAAGACTTATCTTCATTATATTTATTATGAAGAAAACTTTCGCTGTTAACAGATTTTCAACATAGGTTTCATATGAAGACCTCCGGATTTAGCTACAAGGAGAAATTCGACCAAATTATAAAATGTTCGCTTTTTTGGGGGAGCTTGTCATGTATGCAAAATGATTACATTACAAAGGAGAATATTGACAATATCATAATGTCACTTCCTTTGAAATATCATGTAATCCAAGTAACACCCATGTCGGACATGAGTATAGAACAAGGTTGGTTGTTGTACGATGTGAACGTATGGGTGCACAAGTCAAAAGTCCACTGTAAACCATGAACGCCACATTTTTGTATGAAGTTTGGCATAAACTTGAGACCAAAATTTACGTGATGATCATTATAAGTGTATATAATGAATTATTTTTGTGATATTATATGTTGAAGTTGACGAGTTCTATTGATTTTCTCACTCCTTTGCATGTTTCTTTTGATGCGCCTTTAGTCATGACATTTTAAGTTTTGACATTCTCTAAATCCTGCGAAAACGCCCACCTAGTATCAGTTACTCTTAGATTCAATCACTTCTAAAAAACATAGGAAATGGAGTTCAACATATAAGTTGCATGTCATTTACAGCGTCACCCATATCATGTTAATAGGATAATCACAATCTGTATATTTTATTTCTAAAAAATCAGGATCTCTTATGATATAATAGAGAAATATAACATTATTCGTGTTATGAAAGTATACATCATAATTTAACTGACTCCAAACGGAGTAGTATATATTGGAATCACTTTTCCTAACTATAATAATATTAAAGTTCAAATTTTTAATGAAATTGTATGACATGATATTATATTTTTGCATTTCCCTAAAAAAAATTATTAAAATTTGAGAATTCTTCATAAGAGATTTAACAAAAGGTCTTAAAAAAACTTCATCATTTTTTATTTTGTGCTCATGCTGTAATTTATTTTTTTCAAATTAACATTCATATCTTCAGAAATTTCAAATGTTGTTTTAAAATCATAACTATTTTTAAAATAAGATTTTGAAATTTCATATTCAAATTATGTATTCAATAAATAAAAGTAAATTAATATACTTAATATATTTTGATCATAACAAATGAATGTGTATGAATAAGAGAAAATAATTTTTAAAATAATTTTTTTGATAATCAATCAACTTTGTTCCCACCAAGCTTCAACATCCAGCCCAAATTCACATTTTTATAATATTATAAAATTCAAATGATAATTTGAACTTATTAGAGATAAAATAATTATAAATAAGAAAATTAATATCAATATAATTTAATTTTTTAAATAACAATATTGTGGATTTAAAGCATACAATTGTTGCATACTAACGCATGCAACATACAAAAAAAGTATTTCACTTTTCTCATACAAACATTATGAGTTTTAATACTTTGAGCCTGCTAAGTCTTTAAATTGAATATATCCGAACAAACAAACAAACGAACGATTTTCAGTCTTGATTTTTGTACAAATTTAATTTGTTTGTAAAAAATTAATATACAAATTAATCTCTATATATATACTGAAATTTTATGGAAAGAATAAGAAGATATGCAATAGATTTATTTATTTTAGAATGAAAATACAGGGTTATTTTGTTAAACTATTTTTTGTGAAATAATTTTCAAATTTATTCTGTGATTCTGTCCTATCAATATTTTAAATGCAATTTTATTTTAAGTATAACAAAAAATCAATATGAGTTTTCATCATTTGAATCAAAATCAAATAATAATGCAAGTAAGACAATATCATGATTTATCTCAAATTTTATTTTCATTCTCATTTATGTATGTTGGCAAGAAATTGATATTGAACTTTTTACTGAAACTTTGATTTTGTATTTTAAATTTGAAACAGAATTGTCGCATAATAAAGTGACTTAAGATACATTCAAAAAATTCTGTAGCAATAGAACTGTGTTTCTCACCTGATGTTTATTCACGAATCATTCACATAAAATACGGGGTAAGATGGTTTTTTTTATTTTAAAAGAAAAATTCAGGATAACTTTTGTGTTTTAACAAAATTAGAAATAACATTTGATATTGTTTAAAATTTAACAATATGAGATTGTGATGAACATTTATTTATTTTACATTATTTACTAATTTTAAGTTGAAAATTTCGATTTCGATTCAAGACATGTGTTGTAATATATTTGATTGATATAATTATATAAAATATAATTGTGCCATCTTGAATGTAATAAATTTTGATTTTGCACTAAGTTTGAAATGATTGAAAAATGTGAAGTTTATTGAGATGCAGTTTATTGCTTTTTAAATATTTGGAACTTATCTGTATGACTTGTTTTTAAATGAAGATACAGTCAAAAAACCTATTTTATTTTTTAGACTCATGAAATTTTTTAAAAAAATTGAGTTATTTGACTTTCAACATTTTTGACCAATCATAGTTATCAAAAAAGTAATGATTCAATAATGAATTAAAATAATTTCATTTATAAATCCTAAACTCTATGAGATATAATTATATTTTGAAATAATATCTGGACTGATAACATTTATTCCAGGATGCAAATCAAATCTCGTTTAAATTGTTATGAGATACTCATTTGATCATATTTGTAAGATTTTAATAGAAGAATTTTATTTTCTTAGTTTCATACTTAATTTATTTTTAAATATTCATTGTCATGATTATTTTTTCTTTGAAAATATGAATCTTATCTGATTTTCAAAATTTTTATTTATCTCAATTTTGATAAATTTAAAAGTATTTTATATACATATATTATCATTATCATTTCAAATTTAAAATTTGTGGATAAAAAAGGGAAAATGTATTCATGTTATCAAAATTTCAAATTAAAATCTTATTTTTGATTCATTATTTTTCAGAGAGTACATTACAAATAATTTAGAATTTAAATAATTTTTGTAATCTTATCAAAGCTTTCAAATCAAAACGTAGGTATACTTTTTTCAAATGAACTTTATTTATTCACTTATTTTTAAGTTTGATTATGAATAATCATTTTTGTGGAAATTGATCCTTTCCATAGATCATTCGCGCCCACTGGCAATATACTTTCAGTTTTGTAATCAGTGCATGGGATTCCGGGTTATAACCCTAAATCTAAACTCGCAAATAATTTCAAGTCTAGACGTACTCTTGCAAGAACTAGTAGGTTGGAGATGCCTGAAAGATGATTTTGACGAAATAGACATCCACAACATTGAGAAAGCACAAAAATCAGTGAATACCAGCTTAGCTGCAGGGGGCCACGGCCGTAGTATTGATTTCCAGCAGCGCAAGAATAAGTATTGCTGGGTTGGCAATAGTCATCTTTGTTGATCTCCTCGGTGTAGAACAAGGCTGTAAGAACACTGAACATTTTAGTTCGGAGCTTCGATCAGGCTACACAGAAAATTCCTTCCAAGTTATATACGTGAATTCAAAATGTTCTCGGTATCAAATTGTAGTTAGTTTTCATGTCGCGACACAAGTTTTAAGTCAATTTGAGGGAAACAAACAATGAAGTTGAGAGAAAGATCCATGGACATAATCACCAGAAGTTTCGTGAGAGATTTGAGCAAAGAAAGCTGCGACTTCTTTCTTGCGCGTATTGCAGTCTCCAGTGGTTGCAAAAGTGGGAAAGTATGCAACAGCAGTCATGAAATTCTGGTAAGTGTAGATCGGATTCTCATTAGGAAAAAGGTAGTTGAATGTGGATTTAGATACAACTCCTCCAAGGCCGCTCCCACATGAACCTGAAGGTGAAGGTGGTGTAGGCGATGGAGTTGATGAGCACTGACTTTGATAGCTCGCTCCGCAATACTCATTTGTAGTCCCACAATACCCGTACTGATTGCAGCAAAGTACTCCTGAGCAAACTGCGTTTTTAAAAGCATTGCAACACCTTTCACTAGTTCCAGATGTGCAAGGATCGCTCTGGCAACCCGCACGCATCATGCATTTCTCACACCACAATAGCCATACTGACTGTAGCAGTTGTTATCCGAGCACAATGCTCCACCTGCTTGACTTCCACAATTATGAGACAGGCTACCTCAGACGAGGAAAGACACGACCAGTGCCAGGACAAAAGTGGCCATTAGAGACTTGGATGACGCGATCATTGTACGATAATTTCAGTTGCCGAATTGGAATGAGGAATAAGACTCGAGAGAATGATTCTATGGGGGCCAAAGCTACCCTTGATGGCACTCTATACTCTTTGAGTTCAGTAGTGTTTGATCTGCTGAAGGGAGTTGATGCTTATATAGTCGCTGGCTTATGCCATCCGAAAAAAAGTCGTATCCTGTAAGAGTTGACTGACAGTCTTGCCCGATGCACTCCCAATTGATGTTAGGATATCGGAAATCACTGTAGGGTTCAAATTCAGTTCGGAGTTTGACTAGAGGCTTTGCACATTTTCCAACACTTAATGATCCAAACAGACGCGCCGTGACTTCCCTCTCACTTTAGTAAGTATTAAAACCAGGGGATTTAGTAATATATGAATCTATGGAATTGATTACATGTTTGCACCGTCAACGACTAAGAACTTTTTGCGAACGGCTGAAATGGGAACGTTTCTCTCGAATGGTTACGAGAGAAACGTTAGACTATAAACTTGTACGAAAGAATGTGGTTACTAACATCACAAACCCTAAGCGAGGGATCAAGGGGTGGAGGAAGCAGTCGAGAAGGAGTTTCTTGTATGCTTGCAATATCGAGAGAATGTGATTACTGACATCACAAACCCTAAGCGAGGGGTCGAGTGGTGGAGGAAGCACTCGAGCTGGAGTCTGTCGTATGCTCGCAATATCGAGAAAGTGTGATTATTTACATCACGAACCCTAAGCGAGGGGTCGAGGGGTGAAGGAAGTAGTCGAGCAGCAGTCTGTTGTATGCTCGCAATATCGAGAGAATGTTGTTACTTACATCACGAACCCTAAGCGAGGAATCGAGGGGTGGAGGAAGCAGTCTAGCAGCAGTCTGTTGTATGCTCGCAATATTGAGAGAATGTTGTTACTGACATCACGAACCCTAAGCAAGGGATGGAGGGGTGGAGGAAGCACTCGAGCAGGAGTTTGTTGTATGCTCGCAATATCAAGAGTTTTGTTCGGTTCCGGGTAGAAAGCGAGCTTCGGCATTGTCTTTGATTTTCTAGTTTTGGCGCTACTCGTTGCGGATGACAAGCTAGCAATTTTACCAGTTTCTTTTTGATTGCTGCTTATGATCGATTGCTAGACGAGACTGCAGACTACAAGAGAAGATGACAGAGGAGTGACAGACGTTCAAACCCTCGATAAAATTGAGGGTTTGGAAGACTGTTATTAAGCTTTTTTCTTGTGGTTCTTCAAAAATTGCCGATGAACAGACCTACGAGCAGCAGATAGTAACTAAGTGGCAATGGAAATATAAAAACGATTATATTCCCTTTGAAGATATAGAATTCAGCTATTTATTATTTGAATTAGAATGGGTTAATAGATAGTTTTACATACTTGGTAAGATTTTCGTCTAGATGCTTAATAATCTAGATGCAGAACATTTATATGGAATATCTTGTTATCCCATATTGAAGAAAAGTCATCAAAGTATAGTTTGTATTTTAGAATAAGTCCAGTTATAAGATTTTCGTGTGAGAATTATATTTTTCACATGCAGAACATTTGGATCCAGAAGAAAAGTCATTTTCAGGATTTATTTTAAAACAAATCCAATTATAAGATTTTCGTGTGAAAATTATATTTTTCACATGCAGAACATCTGGATTCAGAACAAAAGTTATTTTCTGGATTTATACCAGGCACAACATAAAAAACTATCTTTTTGGTCCTTTTTAATTTTTTTAATAAATAACTGATATTTTTGCTCAGAGTTTTTTAGTCATTTTTGCTGTAGAGCGAATGATAAGCCGGTGATTATAGCAGTTTCTTTCTGAGTGCTGCTAATGTACGGTTTAATGCGCCGCTAAAGCCGTAGATATTTATCTTGCTTGTTTGTCTCCCTCAACACAGGATCCACATGACACTATGAAAAGGAAGACTTTGGATCTTCTGTAGGAGATGAAAAGGTCTTCAAATGTGAAAGTTTTTGTTGACTGAATGATATAGGGTATATGGGCACAATTAACGATTAACACAACAAGACAGAAATCGCATCCCGCATCATTGAGCTAGCTGAGCGTTTTGCACCAAGCAATCAATAGTTCATCTAGGTACGGAAGTATTCTCTAAATCAAGTATGCGAAGTTTTTTGGATCACATTTTAGTGAATGATGATAAAATACAAAGTTGAAATTAAATGATATTTCAATGTTATCATAGTTGACTAAGTTTTTTTTGGAATTCAATAAGATACTTTCAAGTTCAATGTTGGAAAAAAGATCGTAACTTTGTTAAATCTTTAACAAGGATGTTATGTAAGTATTAATACCTAAATTTGTGTAATTGCTAACTTACAAAAGTTGTGAGGAATAAAAAATTGACTCCACTTGACCAAGTGGAGTCAATTTTTCAGGGGAATCAAAAAAACGTGTAACCAGTTACATCATATCATATATTTTCATCAAATTTATGTGACTCCATTAACTCAAAAACGTGTATCCACGCTGGTTACACGTTTTTTAAGAATTTTATTTTGTTTAAGATGGAATATAATTTCACAATCAATCAATGTTTCAAACATTTTATAGAAATATGGTATGCTGATTTATTGTTACAGAAAATTAGTTAGTCATTGATACATAAGAATGATGTTTTTTTCAAGCTTATTCATTTATATCATAAATAAAAATTTTCATTTTTCATAACATATTTTTAGTAAATAATATCAATAATGTTGACTGACTACATTGAGTTCAGAATTGAATCTTATAAATGAAGTAATTATTCAATTACCATATTTTTTAATTTTCACTTTAATTTCAATTGAATTTTATTTATCATTTATAAAATATATGATTTTGTTGAAATATGAATATAAGAAAATGTAATTCATTAAAAAAATTTAATTTAGTACATTATTGATTATTTTTTATATAATATTCAATCTGACTTTTGATTGATATATGCACTAAAATTTATTTGATATGTTTGATGGAAGGTTTAGTTATTTCAAATATCTGGTACACATCATCTCAGTTCAGTTGTAAAAAGATATTGTAATTTGTACATGAAACATACATAAACGAAAACAATATCTGAGGACGGTGGCCTTTCTGAAGCACACGCTCTACTAAAGTTGCAAGATTTGAACTTCGACACTCCATTTCATATATTGAGAGATCAAAGTTTTGTTTTATAAGCGTAGCCCGCTAAAGAGGTGGGCTCTGCACAACCACCACCACTAGGATAGTAAAGACGATTGATTCACATTTCAATACTTATGTGGTGAGTGGAATATATTTATATAATTGCTACAAGAAATCTATGAAAGTTACAAATTTCGTATTCTTTGTACTATGTTTACAGACAAGGATTGATATTTATGTTGTTAAGCTTTATGAGAGAAACTTAGCATGTAAGAAAATTGATTGTCGTGATACACATAGCCTGCAATACAACTGCACGATCTGTTCTAATTCTCTCTACTTCAGTACTGAGTAGATTTTTAATTTATTCCACGTGTAATTGGTTCTTTCGAAAATAAAAGAGCATGCTAAGATGCAAGTTTTTTAGTAGAAATGGAAAGGAAGATTGTAACAATTTGGATATACTCAAAATGCAACCGTCGGTTCTGATTTATCATCAAGTAAGCTTGAGTACATTATGTACTTCTGACTCAGGTATGCTTTTGGTTGTTACATTTCGCACTTCTCATACTTCTAGATTGGTACTCCAGTAAACTCACGGAGTAGTTGTTCCCACACACAAAACGAATAATCGCATTGTGGGTCTTCTGAGTAAACTCTACTGAAAAGCTTTGAAAGAGATAAAGTATGTTTTGATGCAAATAATTCCGCGTCTGGTCTTTTACAATGGGCCGCAAGAGAACTTCCGCCCACGGGCCGTAGAAGCAGATCATCGGAAAGAAATATAACCAAGTCAACATTCATTAATTCAGTCTCATGATCGCTCTTCGAGACCCCCACCATGAAAGCCAACTTTCCTGAACCTCACAGAGCATTCCACCAGAAATTAATTAATTCGTCACCGGCATAGAGTTCCACGGGTACACAAATCTGCAAGAGCATCCCTCAGCCGGATTTTCTTCGGTTTCTTCGTTTCCCGGAGATCGTGCGGCGCACATCTTCCGCTCGACGCAGCAGATCGTCTGACCCGGCGATGAAACGCATTCGTGGGCCGGAAATCGAGCGAATGCGGTTTCAGGGTGCGGCGGGGAACGCAAACTCCTCCTTCCCGTCGGAGAAAAGAGGCACCGGGTTTATCCCTCGGCTCCAGGACCGATGCCGAGCAGAAAGACCGTACGCGAGGCGGGCGTAAATCGAGCAGCCCTGTACAGCGCCGATCGGCAAGCGCGGGGCTGACTTGTCACTGTTCTCGTTCCCGGCCACGGTCGGTCTCGGTCTCGGTCTCGTGCTCGAAGCGAATGCGGGCGTGTTCCGGGGAAAAAGCCGCATTCAAATTTCAAATGCCTTCTCCCCGTTGAGGTGTGCAGTGCAGTGCAGTGCAGCCTTTGCTCGAGGCCCTTCGTGGTTCCCTTCGATCGACGACGATGCTCATCAAATGCGTTCCTCTCGGTGAGTTCTTCGCCTTCCTCTGCTCCTCGAGGTCTCCGTTTTTTTTTTTCCAAGTCCTGGGACGAGACCTTCGTTGAGCTCGAATTGCCGATGGTTTCAGCTTTGCCTTCCTCGCGTGTTCATCCTCTTTGGTGACTGTTTTCGCGATTTCCGTGTTCCTTTGGCCTTCATGTTCCAGGTGCAGGTCAAGATGTTGGGAAGAGCTGTGTTATCGTTACCATCGGTGGGAAGAATATCATGTTCGACTGCGGTATGCACATGGGTTATCAAGATGAGCGGCGATATCCGAAATTTTCGTTCGTCTCCAAATCTGGCAACTATACTCAAGCTATTTCCTGTGTCATAATCACTCATTTGTACGTTTTTCGAACCTACGAACGACCTTAATTCCTGACGTTGTCAATTTAAGGGCATGAATCAGTGTCTAACTGCAATCTTCGAAGATTGTCAGCAAAAAAATTACTGTAGCCTTTTAAGTGATAGTACGGTTGTAATTTGTTTGCATTTGCATGGGCTCATTCCCAGTTTGATGGTAAACGGCGATTCTTGCTATGTAGATTACTGTTGTAAACTTAGTTGAGCCAGTTAGCTGCATACAAGGAATCCTCACGTTATTTAATTGGTTTGACGCAAAATTCTACCTCATCCAAATCTTTTAGAGACCTAACTTGGTCGAGTCACTGCAAATGCTCATCTCCAGAAACCCCGTTTGGCACCTTAATTACAGTACAGAAGTGCATTCCAATCATGGTTCACCTCGTCCCCCAGACTTACACACATTCTTGTATTCTGCCGAAGTCCTCCGTCTGTCTAATTTCTGCAATTTACTCTTGGCTTGCTGTATACATCCTTCTAAGTTTTTATCAACATTGTCTCTCAGGCTTCTTGTCTTGTCTGGACTTGCATGCATCCATTTTCAGATCTATAGATTTCAGTCATATTACTATTCAGTAGAAAAACCGGAAATTGTAGTCATTTAGATCAGACGATGCGCGTCCCTTCTTTTATTGTGGTATAATCAGGTTAGCACTTTCTTCTTAGCGATCTTACAGCTGTTGAAGTTTTCAGTCCATCTTCTGCATTGGGTGCATGACAATGTGGACGTCCATCTTCCTATTTGAGAGTAATCACAGCGCCTGTAGTTCGTCTGACGAACCATTGTTGCTAACATACAACATTTTCGATGCATGAGGATAGTCTATCATCTGCAAAACACTCCTCATATTAACACTTCGGTCATGCAGCTCAGTCATAGCGTACCACTACCATATGTTTGCATATTAACCTACTTCTTTTTCGATATACGCTTGTCTTGATCGTATTTCTGTGTTGCGAATATATTAGTAATCTACTTAGTCAAGTATACCAAAATGGCAGTGTGAATGCCCGGAGTCCATGAAGTTGACGCCTTCCGAGTATGACATGTACCATCATCCTAAAGGTGACACTTTTTGCGTCTTTTCAGTCACTTGGATCATATCGGTGCGTTGCCATATTTTACTGAAGTTTGTGGATACGATGGGCCCATATACATGACTGTGAGTACTTTGTTCATATACGAAACGTCGTATCGGGCTCAGTGGTTAGGCTAAGCTGTTGTTCTATCGATAAAAAGTCCTGTGTGAGTGGTATTAGAATCAGGCGTTTGTCTTCTGGTCGTGTCATCTGCTCAATTCATAGAATGGATCGAATCATTGCTTTTTCAGCGAATTATTCAAGTGCATGTCAACAATGTCATTCTTACTGTATGCAGTATCCTACAAAAGCATTGGCACCGTTAATGTTAGAGGACTATCGCAAGGTGCTGGTGGACAAGAAGGGGGAACAAGAACTCTTCAGTGTCGCCCAGATACAACAATGCATGAAGAAAGGTAAGGTTTTGAGATAACTTCCAGCATCAGACTACTCTAGATATTAGTTTCAGGAGTCTATATCTGGTCTTCGAATTTCAATTCCGGACAAGGATTGTCTTATATAATGGAGATAAAAGATGGTCTTCCAGTTCTAGAAGCTTATATAGAGAAAGTATTGTGTTTGCCTTAAACTGTATACTATAAGAAGTTTCTATATTGACTAGTATGTAATTATCAATTGGCATGAGGACTTTCACATTGAAAGTAATTCATCGGAGCATCACAGTACTGTCGAGATATGTCTTGTTAGTTCTTGTCGTAACCACTCTTTAGAGACTTTTGTCTGCTCGTTCCTCACTGACATAGATTAGTAACGTGTGGTTCACTTAAATCACTATCACGGGGGTTGGTCGGTATGCGGTCGGTAGGCTGACGAATGGAATGACGACTTGTTGATTAAGACGTTTTGGGCTGGATTTAACACCGGTTAGGCTTCGTATATGCTGACCAGCTCTTGGTGGTCGTAGATGATCTGACAGATCTCGATACTTGTTATACATTCGCACATTTTCCTTCATACTCATTTGATCTCCTCATTGTTTAGGACTTGTGTCTCAGTATGATTATAACTTAGAGACACAGTACGTTGTCGTTTTTTAGATTATTCAGCTGACTTTTAAGCTCACATATAAGTTTCGTCTATCTATACACAAAGTTTGAAAAATCTCGGTTATAGGTAGATCTGGTTAATCTAAAGTTTGTACACATCGTTTGTGTTTTCATCAGGAGTCATGTTGGGACGGGCTTGGATTTGTTACTCATAGAATTCATCACTTTGTTTTTACGGTGGGGTTTATCTATAGGAAAAGAGGATGTCTACTACTTCTTCCACATTATACTCCTTATTCTTACAAGTCATGTGAATTGCAGTGACTGCTGTAGACCTAAAGCAGACCGTGAAGGTGGACAGTGAATTGGAGATACGAGCCTACTATGCTGGACACGTGAGTTTTTTTTAAAATGAAACCTTGAAGTTTTGAGAGTTTCCGTCGACAATCTTCCTAGTTGAGGCTCCACGGCTTTCATGACTTCAACCACATCATATCATCGAGATGCGATTGACTGTCCCTGAACCTCCCCGTAAACTAAGTGTTGAGATTAATATTGCTTTGTGAAAGCAGGTGCTTGGAGCTGCCATGTTCTACGTGAAAGTCGGGGATGAATCTTGTGTTTACACTGGTGATTATAACATGACCCCTGATCGACATCTGGGCGCCGCTCAAATTGATGCCTTACAGCCAGACCTACTCATCACAGAGTAGGGCATACTTAAACGCTCTGAATCAGCATGTAGAGTCTCTTTTCTTTTTAAAACTTTTGGCTACTATTAGTTTTGGCTTTGTGTGGATCTGCTTGAAACTTCCTACGTGGAAATTGCTATGAGTTAGAGGAAATATATCATGTCATAAGCATGTTCTGATGTTGTATTACGGACACGCGAAGTGACGTCCTTCCTAGTTACAGTTCTGAGTTTGATGGGTATCATTCTGGCCATGCAGTATGCAGAGTTGCTAGTCATGTTGTAATTTGCGCTGGAATTGTTTTGTCATGGCCACATACAGATCAACGTACGCCACCACTGTTCGAGATTCAAAACGTGCTCGGGAAAGGGAGTTTTTGAAGAAGGTCTCTGAACTTTCCTTGCTCCAAGCACTGGCACTTTTTGTACAGGACATAAACACTGAGAATGAGATCTATTGTTTGCACTTTTTTTAAACTACATGGTTTAATATTAAGCGGGTTTGTCGAACTTGAACTGAAAGTATTTTACTTATAATTTGGATGCGCCGTTTTAGACATGTACGTTTGTTGTATAGATGTAGCTCTGTGTAAATCTAAAGCTTCGCCTTGGATGGTTACGTAAAGGACACCAGAAATTGAATGTTGCAACACAACCGGATAAAGTTTATGAATAAACATATTACTAAAGTTGTACATGTGAAAGTTTTTCCTCAGAGTAAAATTTTTCCTAGTATCCTTTCTTAATTTCACATACTTAACATGTTCTATAATTTAAGGCGTAAATTGAAAATGAGAAATAATTCCAAGCCCTCAGTGTGTGCGCTGCCCCTTCGTGTGTAGTTTATACAACACCCTCTGACGCTCATGAACCTTCACAGGTACACAGTTGTGTTGCTGGAGGAGGAAAAGTATTGATTCCTGTCTTCGCACTTGGTCGAGCACAGGTAAAGTTGTCTTGCATCAATTTATCTTCAGTTGGCTTTATCAGTACACTCCAGACTGGACTTTGCTGCAATGACGATGTGTCTTTTCCTTATTGCAAGTCCCTGTAGTTTTTTCGTTCTTACAGTTCAACAATAGGACAGAGCACACTCTTAAACAGCAAAACACTCGTGTATCAAGCAAAAGAGAAGTGTTATGGATGTAGTTCAGCACAAGTTAAAAAGAACTTCCTTGTTTTCTTAAGCAAGACTCTCACTATCACATCATAGGTTGCTAATATGGACATAGTGGTCAGTAAATTATGACCCGTGTACGTTGAGGTAGGAGAAGCAATGAACACTTCATACAATGACCTCAACATTGAACAAACGTACACATAACATAGTGCGAATATATTCAGTGAACAGTTTAAAGTTACAAACATGTCCTTATGACAGGAAACAACTAAATCATAACGTCGGCTAAAGAGCAGAACTTGGGTGAGGTTCGCTAGCCAACAGTGACCTCAAATTGTCCTCATCACTCTGCATCACTAAAACTACAGATTTTATGAAACGCTTGCCCAAAAACAAGACCCACACAATTTATCCACGTTTGCCTACAAAGACCATGAGTGCCTGTTTAGCTCGTGGAGTTCAGAGATGGATCCACGTCATAATGTGTAATATAAATAGTCATGTATACATATAACAGAAGCTTAGATACAGTCCTGTAAAAGAACATTGATAGAAATGATACAACTGGGTGAGATGGAAATGAGTGGCGTCGGGGTATGTAAGTTTAAGGCAGTGCAATTGATGATAAAAAAATGGACGGAAAGCAGAGTAGAAAAGACGTCACTAACGTGTGACATCCGTAAGTAAGAAGTTGAGACAGAAAGTTGTGAACTAACATTTCGGGGCTGAACATATTGTACTGAAAAACGATGAGGCGAGACGCTGTATACACGAAAACGCGACTGAATGATGAGAACAACTGGGTATCAGGTCACAAACAGGATCATATAGAAAGAAATATACGTGATGCTACCCCAGGATCCCCCCTATCAACCATACCTCAATGGTATTAGCACCGAGCTCAGATCTTTCTCTGGAGCACTCTCACACTAGACTCTAGCACCAATCGCAGATTTAATCTAGAGATAGCAACACAACACCCACACTGTCGGAGAGTCTACACTCACAGGTACAATTAGAAACTGTAATGGTGTTCATTGACAAGCTGTACCAGTTTAACCTTATACGTTATGTCATTGCTTCAAATGCACACATTTTTATCCCCAGAGCTCATCTTACAGCTTGTAGGTTGGAGTTTGTAGGATAATTCAAAATCCTATCCGTGTTTGTTGACTGCTGAACCTTACTGAAAACCTGACGTAAAGTCCTAATTTTCATGCAACTTATGTCAACCCCTTTAACAATCTTATGTCAGTAAGTTTAAAGTTCTGAGACTAGATAACAGTAAATCTCAATGTGCGTTCAAGCGAATTGCCATCACCTTAGTGTGAGTGATGATGGAATCAATTGCATCGCCTTTTGTATGCCCTCTTATCCTCTGGAGGTTTTTTCCTGGTCCGAGGAGTCTTCTCTCTCGATCCAAAAAGATACTGCCTCAGAGTTATATCTCTCGATATTTTAGGTGATCAGAGAGGACATTGTATTGAAGCAATCAAAGTGTTCTTTTGGTCTTCTTCTTAGCTTCACGTACCCTGGTTAGCAATCTTTCAACGTATCCTTCCATAGTACTGATCCTTGTATATCTGCAGCTTCTACTTTTCTTGGTACTTACATGGAGACACTTCTCTCTCATCCTGTTTAAAACACTTTTTTTTTTTTGGAATTGTTGTGCTAAAGGCTGCATTGGGCCTGTATATCCAAAAAATATGTTTGAATTCTAATATTATTTCTATGAGAATTCAGTGTAATCAACTGTCCGTGTTATCTTTGGATATTCTTCCGACTAGATGTATCTTGCTAATCATTGTGGGTTCACGAACTTCTCAAACTAGCAAAGTTTAATTTCAAAGTACTTTGGTTTGACCCATATGGATTGGAGACGTATGTGTTCCCCTTTCAAGGGGCTAAATGTGCCCGCACGTGGCGATCAGAGCCAATAATATTCTTTGAAGATTCTTTTAATTTTTATTCTGTGTAATGTGGTCTACACAACTTACGCTCGTCAATGTTTTGTAGGAGTTGTGCATATTGCTGGATGAATACTGGGAGCGAATGAACCTCAAGTATCCGATTTACTTCTCTGCAGGTGAGTTGCTTTCATGACCGCTAGTAGGCAAGGAAGCAACATTTGATAAACATACGGCTGATTTCGAGCCCTTTCTTTGTTTTGCCGTGTCTCACTCTCTTAGCGCTTGACTTAAGACTGAATTTCGGCTTCCGGTTTGGCAGGATTGACTATGCAGGCAAACGTTTATTATAAGTTATTGATAAGTTGGACAAATCAGAAAGTAAAAGAGTCGTTTGTGACTCGCAATACCTTTGACTTTAAACACGGTGAGTGATCTGCATAAGTTGACGGTTTAAATTCTCTGTTATAAAAAACCTGTTGGTCATGTTGAGCAGCCAGTTGGCTCTACGTACATCGAAGGCGCGTAATCCGATTCTGCGTCTGCTGCTTGCGGTTACAACTCCTTTATATTGGCCTTCAGTTTTATATGTCTGGTCGCTAACTGGCTGAGGTACCCAGTTGCTCCTTTTGATCAAACGCAGATTGACGCACCTGGGCCGAGTGTTCTTTTTGCAACTCCAGGAATGCTGAGTGGTGGACTATCTTTGGAAGTTTTCAAACACTGGGCTCCTTCAGAGCTTAACATGGTTGTTGTGCCAGGGTATTGTCCCTCATCTCACCCTGAACAGAATGTCGAAAGATGTATCTCAGTGTTTTTCTCCTGGTCACTTCATGGTAAAATGATTCTTCTAAGCGGAAGTCATGGTTGGCACACCTTATTTTTACTTAGTGGTGTATTCAGGGCATTTGCCTTAAATTGTGAAGACTAGTAGGGGGTCAATGACGAGAATGAGAAGCGCTCCGCTAGTGTAGCTCCTGTATGTGATCGTGCGAGAGGTTTGATATGTTAATGGCGTTTAATAATGTGCATGTTTTTCAGCTTTTGTGTAGCTGGAACTGTCGGAAACAAACTAATTTCTGGGAAGGCAACAAAACTCGAAATCGATAAGCGCAGCCCTGTGGATATACGCTGTCAGGTTTGTTCTCATTTCACATTTATGGATCAAGCTGTAGTTCATAAAAGTAGATGTACATTGGCAGCCAGCCGTTTCTATCGTTTTAAAAAAATCTTTTCTTTGTTTTATGAGTCAAGTTGCCCAAAGGCTCTGTCAGACACCAAAATCGGTACGTCGAATCCAAAGTATCAGCGCAGATCATCAGCCCTACTTTCTTTGACGCACCTGATTAAAACAAGGCCCCAGTTTTCCTCCTGCTTCATCTCCGATATTTACAGTGTTGTGTCAATCCATGGTTGATTTTTGGTTTCGTTTTGATCCCATTGCTAAGAACAACACCTTATCTAATTGTGGACAGGATATATCCTTGTCTCTCTATCCTTGCACATCTACTTTTGGATCCCCTTCTAGACCTTGCTTACTGGTGATGGACTGAGCAAAGGCTGATTGAAGTTTCTCATTATATTGTAACATGCAACTGGGTAATATCCATAGATTCCAACAACGACAGCAATAGTTAAATGAATTCTGCATCGTGCTTAACTCTTTTATGTCTTCCGACCTTATGCTTCCTAACAGGTACATCAACTGTCGTTCAGTGCACACACCGATGCCAAAGGTATCATGGATCTAGTAAAGCATGTAAATCCCCGGAATGTCGTTTTGGTACACGGAGAAAAGCCAAAAATGGCTACTTTGAAAGCTAAAATCATTGCTGATCTAGGAATTCCTTGCTACGATCCTGCAAACTATGAGACTGTGGAAGTATCTTCTCGCTGTGCAGTTAGAATAAATGTTTCGAAAGCATTTGTGCAGACTAATATGAATTGGGAAGACAGATCCATTGATCCAATGCTGCTAACGCGACCTGAGAATGTTTTAAAAATACCTCATACGAGGGAGAGAACCGCTGTTGAAGGAGTGGTGATATTGGATGAGACATCGAAGTTGAAAATCATTCATACTACGGAGGCCCCAACAGCATTGAATGTGAGGCAACATGATATGAGCTTTACTTGTGTGTGCTCTATCATGGTTGATATCACTGATGGGGAGGTCGAAGAGGAATCGAAGTTGCAAGGGCTACATACCTTCGGCAGCGACATAGTAAAGGGTACATCACCTGGGGACAGTCGAGAAGCCCAATATGGAGAAGGTGGCTCAAATTTATCTAAGTCACGCGAAGGGCCTCATTTTCAGACCCAGGGTGATGAAGATGTGTCACGCAAGAAGTATCGCATGGATGTGAAGAGATGCTTAAGTCTCAATTTGGAAAGAGAACCTGAAATTGAAGAAGGAGAAGAGCTCGAGTCCCTCGAACAAAATGAACTAATGAGGGCTTCCAATCCTTTTGCTGGCGATCTTCAGCATAAGATTCCAGGAACAGGAATCTCTAGAAACTTGGATATCAATGCTGTGCCTGAATCATCCAGTGAAATGGAGATGGAACCTGCTATCAGAGAACCTTCTCCATCGCCACCATCACCTCCATCGGCAGCAGCTGTTCTCCACGCATTATCTGTGGGACTAAATCACCTTACTAGTAGCAGGTCTATGGTGGTGGAAGGAGAAATTCTCAAAAGTTCCTCTTTTACTCTCAGAGTTAGCTCAGAAAGGCCGGAGAACCAAGTGCTCCAAAAACCATCAGGGCTAGCTCCGAGAAGTTTTACTTATCCTGAGTCCAAAGGAGACAATATTGTAGTGTATTCCGCACATTGTAGCTGGTCGTTTGAAGACGATGCCCTAGCTAATAGAATAGTATATATATTGAGGCGATGCAAGTTAAAAATGTTTTAGCTGACTTTCGTTGCCGTATCCTTGTGTCATCAAAATTTTGAAAGTAAAGGGGTTCGACAAGGTTTAGGCGCAGGCCGGAAGTACCAACTACCCACATCTTTCTTAGAGTTTTAATCCGTAGTTTATGGCAAAAAGCAGGTTCGGAAGCTGTGCTCGACAGCCGTGTACTTGCCCACCACTTTCAAACACAGGTGAAGAGCTTGTCCTCAAGAATCGATCATCCTATCAGCAGTGGAATTTTAGAGAAATGATGGCCTTATATGGACCGTCGCCTCGATGAGTTTTCTCGCAAACACGCCAAAAGCGTTAACAGCCCAACTTGGGCTGGGGTTTTATTTTCAGTCATCACCTGTTTGAGAAGACTGCTATGCTTGTACCACTGATCTCGGGGCCTTCGAATTGGACATCATGTCGGGTAGGTCTCGGTGAGGTTCACTACAGGATAAATAAAGAAAAACGGCCGACAATGATATCCCGCCCAAGAGGTACTTTTACAGGTATCCTAGCTTGTTGCATTCGCTTTGTCCTAGTCATCAGTTCGACCATTTCCATTATGGTGGGTATGTATTACATACCAACATTAAAAATAATAATCCTCGTGGTGAATGCAGTGGAGTATGAGGTTGTAAAAATTGTACGTAAATAGAGGTTTTTGAACTACTTTTTCTAAGATTCTGATAGCAATCATAGGAAGACTCATCAAGGAACGTACATGCTCGACGAGTATAAAAATAGAGACTATTTGAGCTCTCTTCCAGTCCAAGATAAGACTAGATGTGCCTAGTGCTCTATATATATGGATGTAATATTATAGATTAATTGGTATAGTTATTGCTTTTCTTACTTCAATCATGATGTTTGCATTACACAAGAATAGTGCGTATTGGAGATAAAGAGACGATAGTTAAATTTGAGTTTTGCGATGGGAATTGGGGCTTCGTTATAGGAGTTTATGAGTACTTGGATTCAGCCGTATCATACTTCTGATGCGATGGTGTGCAATATTACAATAGGCAAGGAGTATAGTAGAACTACAGTGTTTCTTAATCTTTGTCTATGACAAGTCCCTCAAATGATACTTTGAGGGACTCTTTTTCTCTCTTCACTTAAAATATTCACAGGTGGAAGAGAAGTTTCATTACAGGTCTTGCAGTATCAACCAAATAAGCCTTCTGGTCTTGACATATCACTTTTTGCCACTCTGTGTGCATTGCCCCACGCAGATCTTCAAACAAAATGTCATGGATTGCATAAAAGTACTTCGGGATTGCTATTAGACAGATTATCAGTCTAGTGGTTTGATAAAAAATAATTCAGGATTTTACATTGATTGCAGAAGTCAAGATTACTTTATCACTTTTTTCCTTCTCGCCATGGAGAAGTATATTGAGTGCATTAGACCGATTCCTTTATCACTAAGTAAGATATTAGATGTCAGTCAGCTTCTCGCCAAGGGTAAGTATATTGAATGGATTAGATAGATTTTTTTGGAGGAGGTCTTATTGCGACTTGTTACTCATGCATCACCGTGTATTCTTCCAAGAATATCCTTGATCGTTTGAGATTGTCACATAAGGAGATTGTGGAACAATATTGTGGACATCATTGCTCTTTTGGATATCCATCCGCATTGGGTTGTCTTGCAAATGAATGTTGCGAAAGTTTTTAAGACTGTCTCACATGCAACCATCTTTAGATAGCATAAGGAGGCAGGTCTACTTCTATTAATCCTCAAATCTACGATCTAATGTTCTAATGCTATCTTCTTTGTGTAAAAGATTGACGATACATGCGAGTGAGAGTATATGCGAACTGTGCTGATGAACACACTACACTACCTTTCATCAATCCACCTTCTTCGAAAGTTGAAGAACCTCACTTTGGAAAGAGAGTATTTGTGGACCATATCTCATACGTTCAGGTTTTCTGAGGGTGAAATGTATGGTCATACATTTCACCCTCATAAAACCTGAAGGTACGAGATATGGACTCTCTAAGTGTATTGCAGTTTGCAACAAGGATTACCCGTTGGAGGGAATGGCATCTTCTTCGAAAGTTGAAGAACCCCACCTTTCGAAAGAGAGTATTTGTGGATCATCTCTCATACGTTCAGGTTTTCTGAGGATGAAATGTATGACCATACATTTCACCTTCAGAAAACCTGAAGGTACGAGATATGTACTCTCTAAGTGTATTGCAGTTTGCAACAAGGACTACCCATTGGAAGGAATGGCACCTTCTTCGAAAGTTGAAGAACCCCACCTTCGAAAGTTGAAGAACCCCACCTTCGAAAGAGAGTATTTGTGAACTATATCTCATACGTTCAGGTTTACTGAGGGTGAAATGTATGACCATACATTTCGCCTTCAGAAAACCTGAAGGTACGAGATATGGACTCTCTAAGTGTATTGCAATTTGCAACAAGTACTACCCATTGGAAGAAATGGCACCTTCTTCGAATGTTGAAGAATCCCACCTACGAAAGAGAGTATTTGTGGACCATATTTCATATGTTCAGGTTTTCTGAGGGTGAAATGTATGACTTTACATTCCACCCTCAGAAAACCTGAAGGTACGAGATATGGACTTTCTAAGTGTATTGCAGTTTGCAACAAGGACTATACTTTGGAGGGAATACACCTTCTTTGAAAGTTGAAGATCCCCACCTTCGAAAGAGAGTATTTGTGGACCATATCTCACACGTTCATGTTTTCTGAGGGTGAAATGTATGACCATACATTTCACCCTCAAAAAACCTGAAGGTATGAGATATGGACTCTCTAATCATACATTCACCCTCATAAAACCTAAACGTATGAGATATGGTCCAAAAATACTCTCTTTCGAAGATGGGGTTCTTCAACTTTCGAAGAAGATGTCATTCATCCAATGGGTAGTCCTTGTTGCAAACTGCAATACACTTCATACATTCCACCGTAAGAAAATTTGAAGGTACGAAATATGGACTCTCTAAGTGTATTGCAATTTGCAACAAGGATTACGTGTTGGAAGGATTGGCAACTTCTTCAAAAGTTGAACCTCACTACCGAAAGAGAGTACTTGTGGACCATATCTCATATGTTCAGGTTTTCTGAGGGTGAAATGTATGACCATACATTTCACCTTCAGAATACCTGAAGGTTCGAGATATGGACTCTCTAAGTGTATTGCAGTTTGCAACAAGTACTACTCGTTGGAGGGAATGTCACATTCTTCGAAAGTTGAAGAACACCACCTTCGAAAGAGAGTATTTGTGGACCATATTTCATATGTTCAGGTTTTCTGAGGGTGAAAAGTATGACCATACATTTCACCTTCAGAAAACCTGAAGGTACGAGATATGGTCTCTCTAAGTGTATTGCAGTTTGCAACAAGTACTTCCCTTTGTTGTCCGGAAGGGATATATTGATGTGATGATGTATCATAATATTCAGAAGTTTGGTTTCAAAGATGAGAGACGTCCATAGCAAGAGAACATACATGGAGGTGAGTCTTTAGGTTCTATGCATGAAGAGCAATTATACGTGCTGCAAATATCTCAGCCTCATATGGAGTCAAAGAACACTTTCATGTTATGATTTAACCACATGCTATGAATTCATTCTACGATAACATTTTTCTTACAACTAATGTTTTTTTTTCTTCTTTAGCATGAGTTTTCAAATCAATACATCATTGTTCATCAAAATTGCCGATGGAATTGAAATCGAAATACTTAGAGAATCTTTTCCTGCTAGGACTGTGAGTGAAGTTCTTAGATCCACTGCTTTGGAGATGACAAGTTATGTGTTTCCATCTTTTAAGTATAATAAGCACAATGTGGGTCATGTTGATCTCCATACACGCTTTTGGATCAGTAGGTTTCATCTTGTGGCTTGAGAATCAAAGTGTAGAAATTGAGCTTGTGGAACTTAATTTGATTATATTTAATATTAGAAGATGTTTTAACTTTTCGTTCAAAGTAGACTTCATCATCTAGATTCATGTGAATTATAGCTCGAGATATTTCTTCATTGTTTAGTAATGGAAGGATGCAAAGTTTTAGTGTCATAGTCAATTATCATCTTTTTTGATCGTGCAAACAAGACTAAAAGCGTGTTAACTAGAGAAATCAGTCCCACAAATCAACCACATAATTATTAATTGATACTTATGTGGTTGAACTGATACCTGCAAATTGCCCTAAATCTCTTATTTGGTGCCAATAAAATCAGAGTCTCATCATGTTGGTGTTTGAAGCGCTATTTATTTTGGTACAAGTTTTGATTTATAGTTGCAACAAACTTTGATTGTTAATTTGGCATGGAATCCACTCGAAGGCATTACCACATCTCTTCTTTTCAAATACAGTTTTAACAACAATTCAAGAAAGAAATTGATTGGAATTAAGTATCTAAATTAATTTTCATAGATATTATTGCTACTTTATTGATAAGATTCACAAAAAAAACTACTTGATAGGACCCATTGTAACATTAATAGCTTACTTGGACCTATCACGTATCATTTTATCCGATGAAAGTCCATCTACAGCACGGTCACCAAGTTCTAGAAACTGTTTCTATGAATATATAATGTAGGGGAGTTGCATAAACTTGTACGTTTTCATTACCTGCTGTCAAACACAAACTTAAGGTCCACCAGTGCATGACAATTGATTCTTAGATAGATCGATATATACCAAACACATATATATTTGCACCGAACACAAAATCTCTAAGCGTTCTTCATTTTGAATTGAAACTTTGGCTTCAAATGCAAATGACTCATTCTATGTCCATGCATCCGTCGTACCGCCTCGCTCTTCCTTCCTCTGTTTGTTGAATTCTGAAGCAATTCAGAATTTAACAAATATTGCAACCTTCTTCTCACTAAAAGAAAAGTTTCTTCAATCTGCGTACTCTTCTCATCTTTCGCTCTTGCTCGTTCCTTCTAATGCAGTGTTAGTTGATAGTAGAACATAGATGACTTGTGCCATCGAAAAGATAACATGGATTAAACTGTACTTGATTTCAATAAGTTATATGTGTGACGATGGGGTACCATCAGTCAATTTTCTCAAGATTCACACAATGAATGATTTTGATTAAAAATTTGTAATGTCTTACTTTTATAACTTTGATCAAAATCAAATTAAAAATAATAATTTTAACTTATGTGTAGATAATATGATTGATTGATATGAGAAAAAAATTTCTCACATTAATAGAGAGCAGATTACACTATGATTGATTCAATTATGCTATGTTTACAATTGTAATTTCCGAAAACATCCTCAATCGTAAGTGAATTTTATCTGATTTTTAAAATTATTAATACAGATTTATTATTATTATTATTATTATTTGAGATTCATATATGTATGTATGATGTGAAAAATTAATGATTTCTTGATATAAAATATAAATTTTTTTTTAATCCTTTTTGAAATATCATGGAACAAATTTGTTTATCGATATTAAAAAAACGGATTTTAATGATTTAAAAGTTGTATAATTTGCAAAAAATACCCATCTGATCAACATTTACTTAAGTCAAAATTAGATATTTTAAATTGATCTACATGTATATTAGTTTTGAAAAATATGATTTCAAATCATTTTATGATATTATTATATAGAAATAAAATGTATCAAATAAATAATAGTATGATTCTTTTCCTTTTCAAGACATAGGCAAAAATCATGTACAAACATATTGATGTACATATACGTGAACACATATTACCTAAGTATATGTACATTATCGAACTGTATACTGCAAAATTATCTATGTTCAACTTAAAAATCATTCTGTCTTTACATTTATCGAATAGATCCATCACTTTCATAGACCATTATCTTGGTAAAAAGTTAGTCTACTAAATTTATAAAATTTTGAATTTGATGACAAAGAATTTTATCCTCATACTATTTTTATTATGAATAAATTCTACGATTATCATTGTCAATTCATACCCTTGTATACACAATTGTGTTTCAATTGATTGACAATTTGAATTCTTTTTTCTCTATATTTGAATGTAATAAAGAAATATGGGATATGTATTGTTCTCATAGATCATAGAAGAATCATATACAGCAATATGTGAACTTTTAAAGCCTAGAAATTTTAATTCCGTGCATAACAAGGATTGATGTAAGAGAATATGTGAAATAGTCTCACAAAATCTTCACATTGCGCATATCATTGTCATAGATTGTGATTACGTGTAAAATCAATTAAGTGAATAATTAAAATAACTACATACATTGTAAGTTTACATATATATAAAGAGTTTAGGTGTGTTGTGATATTTGGAAAAATTCAGTGATCATTACTTTGATCTAAAAGCGTTTGTTTAAATTTATCGTCGATCGTAGTAACTCATTGATCATAATTAAAACTTCTACTTTCTAAAGAAAAATTTCAGCCCATAGACCCATAGACCCATAGAGCTCGTTTGCAAATTATTTTGCAACATGATATATCTAATTTGAATTTCATCCAATGATGATTTCTAACAACATTATGGATAGATATTTTCGCTGACCAAAGATAGTCATGTACCAGAAAAAACCGGTCATATCATCTTAAGAAGTAACAGGAAGTATCTAACAACCTTCAACAATCAAGTTGTCGGTACATCGAACAATATATATTATTTGTGTAATCCAGAGCTTTGCTAATGGTCTCGTCATGAGAAGACGTATTTGAGAAGATTGATATAGATGAGGTAGTTCTCAAATTGAAGAAGGTACACTCGCAGGATGTCACCATAGATTGATCACAAGCAGGTACTCAAGGACAATTCGCAATTAAATTGATTGCCATTGAAACAATGAAAGCTTATCCAACGTGTGTGCTGCCTCAACTGCCCTGAACTACCTCTCTTCAAATATGTCCACAACATGTTTCACTTCGTTATGAACGACTGTCAAGAGCATGCAAATATTTTGCCAAGATTGAGATTGAGATTGAGACTGAGACTCCCATGCAAACTTAGTGAGGACTTGAGTCTAATGAGAACGTACAACACAAAGGACGACATGTGTTGATACCTACCGCTATGTTACCCGTATACAAGAGGTTGCAAAATCGCAGAAAGGAAATCGTTTGACAACTATATTGCAAACCCGAAGAGACGAGCACAATTTCCTTGGATGATAAAACCACATGACCATGGTCCTTGGATACTCGAACCCAACCGCCCTGTTTACCAACGGCAATGAGAGCATAGAGAGAAGTCCCTCGGTTTGACAGTACAAAATCGAGAGCTGCTTTAGCCCAACTTTGACGCGTGGGAATAAAGCACACTATTGACAAATGGATGTAACTCTGAAATAATGGTAACCAATATATAAAAGAAAATCAGCCGAAAATGTATCGCCTCAGCAACAACATAGTACATACAACTCCTACAACAATTACCACCGGTGCCCACTTCTTGATCAATGCCTGCCAACACATGACAAAAGCAAAGCATGTGATTTGGACTAGTTTTTGGTTGATCGATGGAGAATAGAACAGAAAAAATGACATTTCAAAACAAGAACATGAAGTTCGAGGCTTCTTCTTAAACTGTCCACTGGATATTGCAAGCAGACAAATGTAAAAACTTTTTCGTCTTCTTACCTGCCGATTGAGATCCTTAGCCATCATAACCATATGGCGGGATTCTGAAGTAAGACGATTCGACATTTGGCTGACCTCTGCAACGTTGAGACGCACACATAAGCACTTACAAAAAGATGAAAACTTTGTGTCTGTGCCGTGTTTAGTTTAAGCAGTGGCCATTACGATGCTGTGCAGCAAGGAACGCTCCAGCTTCAAGCAAAGGTCAACAACTACACCGGCAACCTGTGACTAAAAGTTCTGATAGAGGTTCATAGATTGCTTACGGTCCAGTCTGTCCCCGACACCTAGCACTTCTTGAATGTTGCGGGTCATGATCTGCTGAACCTCGTATAGATCATCGTTTAACTTTGACAAGTTACGTTGAGTCCGAGTATCCAGGTAGAGCTTCCTCGTTTTCTGAATGAAGGTATCTGCGAAGACCAATGTCAGAAATGAGCATAAAACTTTTCACATGTTTCAGTTTTACGTGTGGTAACAATTCAGACTTGGAGACCAAATCGGGGCTCGTTGAGGGTAGCTCATAAGATGGCTCCAGTGGTGAATGAACCTTTAAGTGCTTTCACCACGTGCTTCAAATTCACGCATTTTTTTAGGGAGAAAATAGAATTGTGAAGAGTCTCGAATTCGAAGGAATACTCATTTGAGAGTACTCATTTTAGCAGATGACTATTCTCAAAGCTCAAAACTGTTGAGAGAAGCAGCTGCTATTCAGCACTTTGTTTCCCCACAGTCAAGAGCATTAAGGACTTTCAGCCCACACAACCCATAAATGCATGACTTTGCGTTTGAGTATCTGCATTCCAGGAGCATGTTCTGGAACTTCAACACTTCGTGCAAATAAAACGTCATCCACTGGCCAAAAAAAAGAGCTGTTCCATTCCTAGCTAACTTGTGTAGGATGATTGACTGGGTGCCATTCGACTCAGCTACAAGCTGGACAACAATTAACACAAACGCATGAAGACGTGAAATGACCTAGGTCATCATACCAAATTTGATGAAGGCATAGGGTCTCGCCACAGTTTCGATTTGACTCCTGTTAACCTTTTCAAACTCTCGTTGCAGTTCTTCCAGGTACTGATAAGCAAGTTTCTTGGGGTAAGAGCGTTCACATAGAGTCAGGTAGCAGACACCACCCTCGATAATGTAACTGTAGTAGTCTTGTCAAGAAAATACATTGAAATTTTCGCAATAGAATTCACGCGAGTTCTGATCTGCATGCACGAATACAATCTCTACACGAAGAACAAACATGACTAACTCAAACAAGGCGGACACGATTGGACTGGAGAAAAAGAACAACAGAGAGAAGAATCTGATTTGGAATGGTATTTTCTCACATCCCAAGTTAAAGCAGTGGCCACCCAGCCTCAGATTTCATGAGAATTAGATTGACGCTACGTTTGTTAACCGAATTCCAGCGAGCACAGAAAGTTCTGTCAGGTGGAAGTTGCAAAGGATACTGGAAGAAGTAGGACCCGGTCTCTACTGACATGCGAGACGGCTCGTGTTGACCTTGAGAAAGCTTCTTAAAGAGCGATTTAGCTTGCAGCTTGTAAAACTCCAAATCTTTTTGCTGATCCCGTCCATCATCAAGACCTTCTGCCAAAGGTAGACCGTCTGTGACCCGCGCAATAATGGTTAATTTAACCATCTGGTACTCTTCTGAATTCTCTAAGAAGCCCGCCTTCTGTTGGGCAACGACTTGCTACCTGGCCGCTGATCGGTCTATTTTAATTTCCCTTCACGGTTGATGAGATCGTTGCGAAGGAAATTCGCTGTTCCAGCCCGGGGTTCAGTATCGGGGGAATAATTTGGGCAACAGCTCTAAATGACGAAATCGCCTCGCACTCCCAAAACCTGTGCACCTGATGTGATCACCTGTATCCACCACGCAGGCGCTGTACTCAATCGCGACGACCCAAGAAATCAAAGACGAGATAGAATCACCAAATCTCAACACGAACCGCCGTCCTAACACATCATCAGCGCAAAACCCACATCCGGCCCATGATCCTACCGTGTCATGATGATCAGAACTCCACAACGATTTCGTTCAAAGATAAGGATCGGCCACAATTGTCAATCGAGGGACCCTAATTCCCAAAGACCTGAGCTCCGGGAGAGACCTCCGACACCGAACGCTCGACTCTGACTGCTGCTACTCCTGCTGCTGCTGCTGCTCCTCGTCCTCGTACTCCTCCACCTCCTCCTCCTCCTCCTGCTGCTGCTGCTGCTGCTGCTGCTGCGACTGGCCGGCACGCCCAAACTGTCCGACGAAAAAAGGAACCTGCATCTACTCGCGGCTCACTCCAACGATCCAGTGCGGTAGGCCTCTCTCCGATCGCGGTCGCGGTCGCGGGCACCTGGATCCTTGGATCCTTGGATCCCTCGTCGTCGACGCAAGAGCACCCCGCCAACGCCCGACACCCGAGCACGAGGACAAAATGCTCTCTCTGCTACAACTATCCCGATCCCTCGTCCTCCTCTCGACGACAGAGGCCACCGCGACGGAAGGACGGGCGGGCCGAATCGCTCTTGGCAAGGGGAAGGAAGCCCGCACGACAGACTCTCGGCCACGAGAGACCGCTCGTCCCGAAGAAGAAGAAGGACCGGGGGGCATTGAAGGCCGTCCGGTGCATTCTCCTCGTCGTCGTCGTCGTCGTCGTCCCCTAGCACGAGCCGGAGGGCAAACGTTCCTTCGCCCTCCTCGGCCAGTCCTACGCTGCTGCTCCTCCGTGGCGCGCTGGCTCTCTTGCCACGCCATCCCATGCCATGGCATGATCAGCTGGCGCTCGAGAGGGTGGTGAGCTATCTTCCGCTCGTCATTGGTCCCGGACCGAACCCTGGCACGGTCCTTTCCGTCCGTCCGTCCGTCCGTCCGTCTTTCCTTCCTTCGGCCGACCCTGACCTTCGACTGCGCGGACGCTGCGACTCATTAGCCAGGGCCGGCGATTGCTGTGCCCGGTGGCTCGGCCCTTATTAAGGGCCCATATCGTGCTGCCGCTCTCCGAGAGGTGCTCCCCTCTATCCGGCTCGCCGTGCCAGATATAGCGACCGGTTGGGTGGCTCGCGCTTCTAAATTCGTTCAGTGGGGGACACCACAACATATCCCTTCTCCTCGGGTTCCGAAGTTAGCCCCGGTTCGGCCCAAGGATGCCGCCTTGCCTTGCCGAGAGCTGTCTATTTTTGCCTTGCCTGCTTCCTTGCCTTTGTGTGTCCAAACATTCATTTTCCACATTATATTTCATGTTCCATAAGATCTGGTCGAATGTTGTTTTTTTTTAGCTGTTTGAATGATGAAACGGTGATTCCTGGTTTGAATCATTTTGAAGAAAATTTTCTTAAATATATGCGCTAAATTGATAATATGGAGTTATTTTTAGAATACATCGAATTCAAGTCTGATCTTTGTAATGCATATCATTCGTTATACGATATACAGTCAGAGGCAAATGTATAAAAATAAGTTCATCTAATTTCATATCTGTTTTACTCTACTATTTATCCGTCATGCTTCACTAAAATCATTTTTTTCGATGTTTCATCATATAAATATATATCACACAATATAGAGAACTTCATTTTCAGTGTAAATTAAATGCAAAACTGAAATAAAAACTTCTGAAAAATTTAAAATATTAAATAAAAAAACCTTACTCCCTAAAAGTGAAAAAAGAAAAATTTTAAGAAAATTATCAAATCTTTCTAAATTGGAACTTAAAAAATATTTACATACATATTTTACAGTATCTCAAATGAATAATAATTTTGAAATTTTTAAAAAATTTATTCAACTTTTATTATTTTATTTTAAATAAAAATAACATTCGAAAATTTATATTGAAAAAAAATAATTTAACAAATATATTTTAAATTTTAAATTTCATAATGATATATATAACTATGCATCATTGCTACAGTATAAATCAATGCAATCTTCTCCAATCAAACAAAAAATCCATGTATCTTTGCATTTGAATTTATTTGTTTTAGTTTCATTACTTACATTCCTATTTGAAATATGTCATCTTCATATCATTTTTGCAAGGTTTCTACTTTTTTTATATCGTTAAATCTTTTACAAAGCTGACATTCAAAGCAATGTTGATATAGAGATGCATTTGTTCATTAAAATATTATTATATTTGACTAAGCAACAACAATTCTTTAGAAATTGGAAAAATTGTATGATTTTAATCCTATATGAAACAAGTGACGCTATTTGAAAAATATAATACGAATGATTTAATTATACATTGTCCTTATTTGGAAGCATATGTGGCTCATTATGGCTTTGTGATCTGATTAATATATATATATATATATATATAACACATTTGTAATGTACGGCCATATATAAATATCATGAGATCCTTTAGTGCTAAGAAGAATGTACGTAAAGATTGATACAGAACGAGTAGTAATTGTTGATATTTCATACATTTTTTGATGATTGGTAGAGGAAAACATATGTTTATGTGACTAAAGAGATAAAATGTCATGCATATGCATCTCACAAAATACATCAATATTTCTTAGTCTTGTAGATGCATTAATCATACGTCATAACATATATAGATGAATAGATTCTTCTACTGATAAAAATTTTCTAAGTGACATCCACGACATGATTATAACCTAAACAAATATTCAATGTGTAGTCAACTATGCTGTAAGTCACCTAAAATTTAAGATTTAGCAGCATCAAACTATTAATGTAATAATCTTTCAGCACCAAAAATATATTATGACTTTTTGAACTGCATGTTTCAATTTCTTTTTCTTATGATAAACCGGTTTTTTTTATAATTTAAATCTTTAGTATCTTGATATATTTCATATACTTCTAATTATTTTGACATATTTCATCCATACTTCAGTTTTTTTAATTTATAGTTAAATGCTTCAATATCATGTACTATGCTACATACAGTCCATAGCATGCAGTGATCTGATCGCTTTGCATGCTCATCATATCAAAATATTTAATTTTTTTATTTAAATATTTCATTTACGAAATATCACATATATCACTAGCCAATTTGAAATTCATAACATGCATACACATATAACGCACAATAAATCAAAATGAACGTAAAGCTTGATTTACTTATTTTTTATTAATTTTTAATCAATCAGATGTAAAATCATTTTAAAATTAAAATTTAAAATAAAATTATTTATATTTTAGAAATGAATTATAATTCAAGTTTAAGTATATACGTTTTGAAATATTTTTTAAATGTATAAAGTTTAATCTTATCAAATTGAGTAACATTTTTTATCATATGTATAAATAAAATTTTAAAAATATTTTATATTTTCAGTAATAAAAGATGCTCAGATATAGTTATAAAGTTTCTTAAACAAAAAATCATGTGAAATAATATAAGATGAATAAATAAGTTAAATATAAAAGTTTTATCTGCATTATTTTTTACAATGTCTTTTTTATTCAACCAAATCGAAATATTTATATATAAGTATAAAAAAATTTCTAAAATTATTTGTAAAAAATTATTAATAATCAAAATCACATATTAATTATAAATTTCAGATTGGTTATATTTTTTGAAGATAATAATGATTATACTATGTTTTTGTGATATGCTCAATTTTTTCAAATGTAACTTTTTCATGAGTTTCAGATGATAAATATATACTCAATTCATGCGTTCCAAATGATTATAAGTTTGCCAAAAGCTTTTAAGGTCAAAATATAACAATTTTTAATTACATGAAGGAATGAACACATCATCAAGTACATGCAAGATTTATGAATATATTTATTTAGAACAAAAAAATTTGGAATTTTATTGAAAATGTTCTTAATATTTTTTTTAAATTTTACACAAATTTATATTATATAATTTAAAAAGTATTCAATTATACTGTTTACTAATTGATATGTTGTATTTCTTGTGTGATGAGATTGAAGTAAAAATCTTAATTAGAATATTTATAATCTTAAACTTTCCATATCTCAAGTTCAAAAATTCACTATTTCATGATTATAAAGCAAGACTGTGAACAAAATGAAAATATGTAAAATTAAAATACATTAAATTCTGCAATTCTAATTCAATCACATATGACATATATTTAGCACATAATGAAATTACAACAAAGTGACATACATAAAATAAAATCATAGAAGATGAAAAGATGGAGTTATTTTAAAAAATAATATTTTGATATTGATATTATTTTTCAAAGAAAAAATACGCAGTGCTAACACCGAGGTTTATTTTACCGGAGACAAAAAGATCAAGTGACAAGTCTCCTTCTCGCGTTAAATCCTAACCCTAAAGACTGCCGATAACCGATACTAAATCAACTTTTCATTATTATCTACACATTTCAAAATTTCAAAATTTCAAAAACATACCATTTCTAATTTAGGAACATTGTTGATCGTTTAATTTTTAGGGTTTGTGAGATGTTTTTGTTGCTGGGAACTCACATCTAGGGCGTGCGGTCGAGAGTTTGCATCGTCAAGAGCTTGCTTGGCTCTCAATTGCTTGGCGCGTTGAACCAGCTTCTTGACGCACAAAAATCATTGTGGAATGTGTCAATTCTGGAATAGACATGGCAGGTTGTCAGCGCAAGGGAGATTTAGGTATCAGGTTTTGTCCATCATCCGAGACTCTAGTAGGAATCGCGGGGGCAAGCAGCCAGCTTGTCTTCGTGGCAAAATTTCTTTGAGAACTTTAATCACATTGTTTTTCATGCAGTTTGGAATAGAGACACGGTAAAAGAATTCACGGCCTAAGACTTAAATCGAACACAAGGTAGTTGGTCAGGACTACTAATCTTCCCTTGATATATACAAAACCAATTAAAATAATATTGGATGAATAAATAAGTCAAATTTAAAAATAATATCTGCATTGCTGTTTACAATGTTTCTTATATTAAATTTATTCAAAATACATACATATAAATATCCACAAAATTTTAAAGAATTTTGAGTACATAATAATTTTTAATTGCAACCTTGTTATAAGTTTTGAGGATAATATTTTATTAATGTGATATGCTAATCTTTTCAAAATACAACTCTTTACATGAATTTTAGAATATAAATTTATATTTAAATCATCAATGTATATATTTTCAAATATTTATGAGGTTGCCAAAGGCTATTAAGATCAAATTTTAACAATTGTTTTCAATTACATGAAGGAATGTACACATCATCATATACATGCAAAATTTATGAATATATTTATTTATAAAAACATATTATTTATTAAGATTTAGAATTTTAATCAAAATTATTTTTAATAATTTTTAATTGATTACAAAACATTAATATTATGTAATATGAAAAAATTCTACTTATATTTTTTATTTAATAATTTGTTATATTTTTCATGTGATGTGATTGAATTAAAAATCAATAATTTGCTATGAGATGAGTTGAAAGAGAAATTTTTTTGATGATATTTAATTTGCCTATATTCTATCTAGGATTCGATTAAGTGGAATGTTTATGAGATGTAATTTTTTTGGATGGATCATTATTTATGATCAAAATCTTTTTGGCGGATGTATTTATATAAATAATAATAATAA